TCTCTCTCTCTCTCTCTCTTCCTGCCCCTAATTTCTAGTCTTATTGAATTTTTTTTTTTAAAAATTTTGTCATTGATAATAATTAATCACTGTCATAAAAACAGTAAAAGACTAATTTTATTAGTAACGTTATAGGAGACTGCTTACTTTAAATCAAGACTCCTTTGTTTAGAATGTACTATTGGGTACGCATTTAAACTAAAGTAAAAAAAAGTGTATAGGCAACAAGAAAAAAAAAAAAAAAAGAAAAAACGAAAAAAAACGATAAAAAGATTGCGCTTCGTATCTAATATGTGTGTTATGTTGTTCAAGTTTGAAAGAAAAAAAAAGAAAAAAAAAAAAAAGTTCAAATGCTCTTGATCAAATCAGTATTATAGCCGAAAAGAATCAAAAAGTCAAAGAACCATATCACTTGAACAGAGAACCGTAGAGCGGGAGCATGAGAGATTAATAATAGTAATTATAATAAAATGATATAATATTAGTATTAATTATAATAATTATATTAATATATATGATATAAATTATATATATATATATATATTGTATGTATTATATAATACTATATATTGAATATGTATTATATAATATATATACGTAAAATAGAGATGTAAACTTTCCAGAAAGATTAAATTATGTTTCGAATAAGAATTATTTTGGAATTCTTTGGAAAATGCCGACGAATAAATTTAAAAAAAGAAAGAAAAAAAAAAGGAAAAAATATTTACTCGGATTTTATCGTACATCTTAATATCATAACATCGTAATTTTGATTGTTTTTCTAATTATTATCTTGTTTAATTATTAATTCCAACGATAATTGTTCGTGTTACCAATCTCCATTATCACTTTTACTTATTACTTTCCTAAAATGTATTTCTTCAATCGAAATTTTTGCTTCAATCGAGATTGATTATTTTCTTTTTTTTTTTATAAAAAAAATTTTATCGATAAAAAAATAGAATAAAAATAAGAATAAATTACAAAGTACAAGCAATTAGATATCTTGCAAATATAAAAATCAATTAAAAAAAATGTTTAAAAAAAATTCTATGGTATATTATTTAAAAAAAAAAATTCGATTCGTGTATTTTATATCGCATAATTAATATCGTATATAATAACTTTCTCGACGATTTACATCTCTAATATTAAACGAATAAGATCAATTGTATATGAATGAATTTGAAAGAAAAAAAAAAAAAAAAAAAAAATTGAAAAAAAAAAAGAAAAAAAAATGAAAAAAGGCCCGGGGCCCATTAGGCTCTTTTTTTTTTTTTTTTTTTTTTTTTTTTTTTCTTTCTTCTTTTTTCAAATATTTTTGGACATACAGGGGTGTAATTGGGCAGCGATTAAGATAAAGTTAAAAGAGGATAAAGTTAAGAGAAACGAAAGGAAAGGAAATTCTATCGAAACATGCACATACATACATACATACATACATACAGGTTACATCTAATATGCAAACAGAAATCTAATACGCAAATATATGTGCATACGCAGACATGTATCAAGATATCGTCGGCATAGTGACTTAAAAGCGCTTATAATTACGATGTACATTTGCTGCGTGGTTGCGTGGAGCGGAACTCGCTATACAATAAATAACATGTTTGCATGTGGTGGCCGTTCATTCGGGCCAAAATAGGTTTTGCCCGAGATTACCGAGACTCACGAAGACAATACGTGCTTTGGACGAGAATGAAAACAAAAATAGAAAAAAAAAAAATCCAAAAAAATAATAAAAAACGAAAAATAATAGCATGAAATACAAAATGCGATGATAAAATGTAGAGAAGAAGTTTGCCATTTCGAATAAATAGAAACAAGGGGAAAAGGTTATATCGTTTCCAAAATGAAAATTGTCAGAAACGTATTAAAAAGGGGAGGGGAGGGGCGGGGCGGGACGGGGCGGGGCGAAACGGGAGAGAAGTGGGGAGAAGGGAAAAGTGAGGGAGGGGGGGAGGAAGGTAAAGCGTGCTGCTTAACGGTTAACATATAAATGTAATTACTGATTATTCGAAGAAGAATAGAAAAATGCAAAAAAAAGAAAAAAAAAAAATTTAGGAAGCATTCTGTGCAAAGTGAAAACTCATTCATTCAGTTTTTGTAGACGGTCGCTCGATACGAGAGGATCAGATTTTTTTCGTCGTGGAGACGCGTAGTACTCTGTTATCGTGGTACAGAAAGTGTAATGGGTCAAAACTCGAAATAAAAAAAAAAAAAATAAAAAAAAAAAAAAAAAAAAAAAAAAAAAAAAAAAAAAAAAAAAAAAAAAAAAAAGAAAAAGAAAAAAAAGAAACAAATTTGAAAATGAAAAAAAATCTGTATGAAGGTTTGTGCCACTCTACGTCATGTACATAAGAATTCGGTGTGAAAGGGTACGAATGTGTGATAACGTAAGTAATAAGTATGTATGAGATATAGTGTGGTAGGGGAAGGAAATAAGATTTACATACAAATATGTGATGTGTATATACACACTATATATATACATACATATATATGGAAATATTGAGATATATTTGTAAATTCTGTTATTTGAATGCATTATAAATATTTTAACCTCCTGTAATGAAATATTTAATAAAAAACGTTACCAACCAATCCGTCTACACTTTTAGCCGGTGTGTTTAGGATATACGTGCGTCTTATGAAATTGTACTTTCTTTATGTGCGATAGTACAAAGGAAAGCTGTGTAAATAAAGACACGCTTTTTTGTAGAGAGTAATTACGATTATTTTGCGATGATTATTGATATTATCGATATCAAGTTTATAACTCTTTGAACAGTGACATTGTTTAATATGCACATAATTTCTTTATTTACATTGCGATTATAATAACATAATGAAATATTTGTAAATAAATCAAAAAAAAAAAAAAACTGGTTGAAGTATACTCTTAGACTATTCTGAAAATGTGATGAAAATCTAGCATTTAATTATAGATGCACCGTTTAATTTGTTTGTATAAACTAAATATATAGTTTAAATTCATAATTCAATTGAATAGTACAAGATACGCTGAGACTATTGTTTTAAAAGATGCGTTGAAAAAAAATTGTATAAAATGTTGCTTTTTTTTATATATCTATGTTTCTCTGAAACTTCTATACATATACATATACATATACATATACACATATATATATAATATATATATATATATATATATATTTATTTATTTATATTTATATTATATATATATATGTGCAATATTCTCACAAGCAGGAACGATTTCATAAAAGAAAGGATCTAATTGTAAAAGAGCTAAAAAAATCTTAAAGATTTAAGAAAAAAGATCCTGTACATTGCATCTATGGGAATGGATAATATATAACAATAACTGTATATTATGTGCTGTAGACAAAAATTATAGTAATTTGTAATACGAATGAATTGAAGCAAATAAAATAAATTAAATGTATTTTTTGATGTGGTTAAAAGTAAACTAATAAAAATATTCCATACGATATAATTATTAAATAACGAATAATTCAAATTGTTTTGATAACCCACATCTGTTTTATCGTAAAATATATTTTTACGGTTCTTACGGTTATTTATGCAAACGAGGAGGATAATAAATGATACAATATACTTATTATAGTTAGTAATTTTTCTTTTTATTTAAAATTTAAATCTAATAATTTATCGAATAACAAAAATATCGACAGAAAAAATGGTTAACTTATGTGAATGTGTACCGTCGAATTTTTTTTTTTTTTTAGCAATCAAAAATTGCTAAATTGGACATTTTGAGTGCAATCGATCCACAGGACTTCCGTTATGTAAGAGTGTGCATGTATGGTAACATTACTTAGTGGCACGGATACCGCATTATGGTTTTATATAAAATATAATTTATTATTTATTTTGTGCTTATAAAATACATGTCTTTAATATTTCATATTAAGATTCTGTAAAGATAATGAATGAATAATAGAAGAAACGAATAAATATATAAATATACGGAATTATGTCAATTTTCTATCGATAGAAAATATATATATATATATATATTTATATTTAACATTTTTTTTTAGATAAATAGATTATTATTTGTGTTCAAGATTCAAATCAATAATAAATGATTTGTATCTTGTTGTAACAATATTAAACATATTTGTATCCATAACGCGTTATCGACATCTATACGGATGTAATGTGCTGTATCCAAGTTGATTAAATTATTATGCAATCTACATATGTCGTAATATAAAGATATCGTTAAAAATATAAATTGTATAAATAATCAACGAATTATTTTTTTTGTATGTACATACCTTTGTAGATTAATATTTATAATTAATATTTATAAATTTGTGTAATTGAATATATATTTTTATCCAAAAATTTCAAAATTCATTAAATAATTTTGAATCGTAGGAAAAATAAAAGAGTAATCGATATAAACTGCATTGGAACGAACGTATTGTCTACGGTTCTAGAATTAACTTGATTTTGGCCAATAATATTACTTCAATATTTTTTTGTCTATTACATTTTTTTTTCTCTCTCTCTCTCTCTCTTTTTTTTATAGGAAACAATTTGAGACGATCTCGATTTTTGTACTCTGGTAAATAACGGAAAAACGAGATTACATAGCTGTAAGATCACGATAGATCACAATATACGTAGTACGGTAAAAAATTATACGAAATATTTTCACACTTAATGTGTAACGATTTTACGAATTTTCATAAACAGTGCAAACGCATATATCGAAACTCTGGATCTCTAACTTTCTTCAACACGTATATACCTTCTCTCCTTTCCTCCTACCTATACTTTCCATCCTGTTTTTAATTCCGTCCCATGTACGATACATACGATATACACCCGATTCGATTATTCGAGACGAATCTCTGGAGAAGAGCGGTCGAAAGACAAAGAGAGTATCGTTTCTCTACGATTACATATCTATGATGAGAATCGCGTAAGCTTTGGCCGCGAGGAGTCGGCGTGTCACGGAGCGAGGTCGATCGAATCGAGTTGAAACGGTCGGTAGAGAGGAACGGCGATTAAAAACGCGAGTCGGAGCGAGAAGGATCAAGCGAGCCGGCCACGATTGCAACTAGTGCCACCTGGTCGGCGATACGGTGGGCGAAGAGGGGGGGCGAAGGGGTGCGTATTGACGCGACTGCGCGATTTCGTCGACGCGGTAGAAAAGGGTAGCGGGTTCCGCGGCAGTGAGAAAGCATACCGCTGGAGAGAAAGAGAGGGGAGGAGAGGAAGGGAGCGGAGAAACGAGAACACGAGAGGAGGAGGGGGACGGCCTGAAAAGCTCGGGCCAGGCTGGGTTCGATCGTTCAATATTCATCCCTTGGTCGGACGAGAGCGCCCGAGAACAGTAGCTCCAGACGAGGGCACGAATCGACCCTTCCTTCCTTTGCGTCCTCGCCCGCGGAACTGTTCGATCGCGGCACTGTTCCACCAGAACACGTACAACAATATTACCAGATAGAGCATCAGATCCTGACTGTCGCCGTTCGTCCGTTCGTTCGTTCGTTCGTTCGTTCGTCCGTTCGTTCGTTCGTTCGTTTGTTCGTCCGTTCGTTCGTTCGTTAGTTGGTTCGTGGTGATACGCGGAGAGAAAATTCGTTTCTTCTCTCCGTCTTTCGTCTAGTCGTAAAGAATGGAGGGTAAAAAAGTCGAGCAGTATTACACTCCACCGCCGAAGCTTGGCAAATGGGAGGGTTTCAGGGTCTTTGTATGGAACTCCGAGACTGGACAGTTCCTGGGGCGCACAGGCGCTAGTTGGGGTAAGTTATCTTTGTGAAATATGTATTTTACGTACGAGAGATTTACTTTTACGAATCAAATCGAGAGTGGATAGATTCCTTTCCAGCTCGAACGATATTATTAACGATAGGTATTGAATTGAACGGGATTTATTCCGAGAAATTTGTTTATGGTATCGAGAACGATCTTTTCGGAATATTCTAAGCGAAAACGTATCGGGAAAAGCGAGAAGTCGAATATCTGATTGACATTTAATCGTAACCCCATCGTTCTTGACGTAAAGGGTCGCAATGTACACGCGCACTGCAGATTCGCGGTGCCATATTATTTAGGAAGGATTATCGCGCTTCTTAAGTTCAATCGAAGAAAAATGTTTCTTCTTGATTTTAATTTAAATCGATTTCTGTTTTATTGATGGAATTACAAATTTTTTATTTTTTATTCTCTTCTCTTTTATTTCTATCTTTTTGTAGTGAAAAATCTCAACAATTATGCAAAATATATAGTAAAAAAGAAGATGTTTTTTTTAATATTTTGACAAAATGATCGTAACTTTTTTGCCACCATAAGTCTTACGTTCAGATGCACGAAAATAACGTTTCGTTATAAATTTTTCGTTTTATCTTAGCAGGAAACGTATCCTGTTCTGATAAACCAGAGCTTTTTTCCATATCATAATACGTTCTTTTTAATACGTTAGATTTTCTTAATCAAAGTTCTCAATCGAATCTTTAAAAAAAATAAAGAAAGGATAATCTTCAGTTTTCTATTTTTCTGGTAAAATTATAAAAAAAGAAAAGCATGAAATGAAAAAATATTCTTAATCTTTAAGTGTGAAGTTATAAAGTTTTATTCCATTATAAATAATTAAAAGAAGAAAAATAGTATCATAAGTTATATTCGAAATGAAAAACATGCTGAAATTATTCCATAAAAGGATAAAAATATCGAAAGAGCGTATTTTGAATGTGTAATATAGTGCAAGTTATTTTTGCTTGTGAGTTTAAATATATAAATAAAAATTCATATAAGATTCTGCGTTTCGTACATTTTTAACGCTTACAATTGATTTTATTTGACTCTATCTAATGACATATAGCAAATGTATTCTCCATATTGCACTATTATGTAATACAATTGCGGAAAGATTTGGTCGATCTGACATTACGGTATATCGAATAAAATCAATTGCAGCTAATACTATAATCACGTTCACAAATTAACACTTATTTATTGTTAATTGTTATTGTTAATTGATTTTAATTTTATTTTATAAAACTAAAAATTTCTCCCTTAATTATTTTTATTTATTAGAACAAGCAAGAAAGAATTATAATTTAATAGAAAATTATTTTATTTGAGAATTAAGTTTTACGAACACATTATTTACGTACGTGACAATACTTTCTAAATAATTAATATTTTATGGAGATAATAATTTTATTCTCTTATATTTTGCAAAATGAAATCAAGTGTTCCAATTCGTATTTTCTTCAAAATTATTTCTGTAAATTAAAATTTATTCTAATACATTTATTTAAAATTTCTTAGTTGCAAATCCGATTCGATGTAATGAAATTGTTACACAAATTATTAGAATCGTTATTTTACTAATTTGTACGGTTACATGTACAAGACACGATCTTAAATTAACATTTAAAAAATTGGAATTAAAACTCGGCTTTTATCTTTAAATTTTTTCGTGATGTGAAAAATTTGTACGAGCAAATATTGATTTTTTCCCTCGACATTATCATTTATATGGCACGTAAAATTAGGAAATTTTTATGATAGATTTCTTTGAATTGGGCAAATTTGCAATTTTCTTACCGTATTTACAAAACAATTCGTTCAGTCGTTATCGTGTTAGCATACTTAAAGCAGCTTATATTTTTCTTTGCAAGCTACATTCTTTCTTCTTTCTCTTTTGAAGTTGATCGACTTCCACCAAAATCAATACAAACCAACCGTCTTACCATTTCGTAGAAATACCTTCTCCTTTATTTATTTTTAACAAATTTTACTTTTACTACTCTTTTACCAATCAAAAAAAAAAAAAAAATTGAAAACAAGGAAATATGGAAAGAAGGGAATGACAGAGAATAATTATTAATTATTAAGATATCAAATAAAAAGATTATTTAAGTGTCTCTTTTTAATATTTTTATCATCATCTTTTACTTTAATTTTCAATTATCGCGACTAAAATATGCCTCGGATAATTCACGTGAAATTTTTGTATTCGTTTGTAGAAGAAATGAATGATTTGATCGAAAGATTGACATATCTATTAATCCAACAAATGATACAAAAATGGATTAAAAAAATTTTATATCCTGTTAAACGATAAGAATAACATCGATAGATTAATAAAAACTAAAACAATTTTTAAAAATAATAAGTATTTTTCGATCGAAGAATAAAGAGAACGTTGGAAGAATGGGAGGAAAATGTACGTAATATTTGATGAATAAAAAGATCGAATGTACGTAATGTAAGTAAAATATACGTAACGCAAGAATCAAGATTTTCGTATAAAAGATACATATATATCATTATATTTTCTCTCAAATGCGGTACGCTATTACGGTTACTGTAGTAACGTAACATTTTCACGGTTTTTTTGAGATATCGATCACTTCGTATGCGGAACGCGACGGCGCCACAAACTTAGAAGCCACCACGGTTCTTTCACGAACTAGGTCATTGATATTGTTGCATTTGAGTTTGAATTTTGATACAGAAATATCGTAATCTTTGCGATCCTTTTTTTTTTACCGTCGACCACTTTCATCCTAGGAACAGGAAACGAACAAATGGAGACATGGAAGCGGAGAATAAGATTCTTTTTTTGCATAATTTATTTACATAGAAGTTCTTTTCATAGATTTTAAAACAGAAGTTATTCGAATATTAAAAGAAGGGAGGGGAGTGGAGAGTTAGTTTCTTTAATTTAAATTCTTTTTACGCGATATAGAATAGAGAGAGTGGTGTCTACGAAGATCAATAACGTACTTTATTTTTTCTTGTACATTTACTCGATATTACTAGATATTACTTAAATTTGTCTTTTAGATTGAATTTTTTATTCAAAAATTTAATAATTTTTAATAATGAATTGATTAAATTTAATAAAAATTCTAAAAAGTTATAACATTTTGAAGTTACACATCATTCTACGTACGTAATTTTATTCTTTCGATCAATTAAAGAAGGAAAAGTATAAAAGAAAGAAAAGTATGTTTCGTTGTTATTATGTTTACACGAAAAAACAGTAATGGATTATTGCGTATAATATAAAATTTGGCCTAGTGCCAAATGAAACTTTAACTATTCTTGTATACTGTAGAGCAACTTTCGAAATGAAATTATTTCGGTATCATTATAAAATTAGAGATGTCGATTAAATACTTACTCTTTAAGTACATTATATATATATATATATATAAAATTTAATTCAAAGTTTCAATATATTCATATTCATAGTTAAATGGGCAACGAGATAATTGTTGCAAAATTTCTGAAATGAGAAATGAAATTCATCTTGAAAACTTGAATAAAAATTTGACGATGTAGCAGCATAATACGATTGCACACGCATTGTAATTTGTTGTTGATCAATGATTCTTATAATAAACTCAAGCAGCGTCACTTACTCAATACCAATTCAGGCCAATTAGGCCTCGGATCATAACTGTCTCAATGTTGTAGACTTCAGTAACTACTATGCGTAAAGGATATATTATTCCAATAAAATATTTGTCTCTGTTTCCATGAGTTG